TTTATCATATCTAAAACGCTCGGCTGCGCCTCGCGTTTTAAATATGATAAAACACTCCTACGCGTGCTTTAAATAGTACATGGCTTGAAGAGGTTATAGACAACCAAGCTACGAAACTGTCTGCGTATATTTAGAGAAGCAATACTAAGCCAAATATCATTACATTCACGTCTTGAATTTGTTAATACAAATTTTGTTGTACAAAAATTATTCACAGATTTACGAACGAATGCTGATTGATCAATTAAAACGTTGCTTTATTTATTTATTTATTTATTTATTTATTTATTTATTGCTTTGCAATTTCGCGTACATATGATTTGACATGTGACTGATGTCTTTCGCATATGAACTGTCCCAGTTCTACATATGAAATAATAATTTCACATGTGAGATTAATTTTCACATAGGCGTGTCTCGTATACGAGCCGGGGGGGCTCTGCAAATCTACGCCCGTACGCCTATATAGGAATTTGCACATTAGTTGATGTTTTAGGCTGCGCTTACTGAAACTGCGATTCTCTGGGCGAATTTAGCTACATTTACACAAGGCAATTTTTCCGGCCGATTCAGTGCTATTCGCCTATTCGTCATTAATATTCGATATAAAAACGCGAAATCGGCCCGATTGATCGCTGCATTGTTTATACGTTTAGGAAAAAATGACAGATGTTAGAAGTTACATCTCCACAGCTTATGGAGAGTAAACTTCGATGTGAAGAAAAAATATTGTATTTACCTAGTTTAATTTAAATTATTTAGATTTTCTTAATATGTAAATTTTGAGGAATAAGGACATTTATCTGGTACTGTCATTTGATCTGGTATTGTAATTTGACCCTTGGGCTGTCACGAGGCAGTGTGGATATATAAATCTGTGCATAAAAATACAATCCCAGGATTACTATAATTATGATTTTAAGTTTAAATTATCTAGATTTTCTTATCTTGTTACGAGTTCAACCTAATTAATTAAATGATTCAGTTTCCTCAATTTTATGTAAATTTTGAATTCAATATTAGCTTGATATATCCCACAATTCCGTTTAAATCCTTCATTCCCGATGCTACTTGCGGTTTTCATTCCCAATGCTACTTGCGGCAATTTCCCAATACCTCTTTGCGGCCTTGACTGAGCAAACCCAGATTTTTCCCCACGACTGAACAATACAACCTATATACGCGGGGAATTCTATATATGCCTTCCTCGGGTTTTGGCCAAAACCCTGCGGGGGCAATAACTTTTGGCTACCTCTTCCGCAGGCCGTAATGATTTCGTAAGGCAGAGTATGCCCCGTTTGCAGGTTGGAAATTGAATTTGAGAAAGAATGCTGGGTTTGGTGGAAAATCCAAGTGAGCATATATTTTTACACGGCAATATAAGACATATAACCAGGAACGGTTGCGAAAAATACGACACATTAGTATAGGTCCAATCCTCTATCAGGAGTCGAACCTGCGGCCCTGCGATTCCGGTGCAGTCTACTGTCCACCAAACCAAGCATTCTAGTTCAATCAAGTGAAGTGCAAAAACACATCTTTCAAGTTCAATTTGAGAAAGGCCTGTGGATAAGGCAGGCTTTAGGGCATGTTTACAAGCAGAGATTTGTGAGAATTTCTATGGCATACCTACCTATTTACTATTAAAAGCTAAAAGGTAATATATATAATCAATACTTGAACCAATTAAATCCTTTTAAAAGCATAAAGAACACCTTTACGTGAACATACCAATCTTAGAATAATAATAGTATTTAATGAATCAACATTCATACCAGTTTCGGTATAGATACATACATATGCACTAAACCCCAAGAATACATTAATTAGGAACAAATTAATAATGATAGCCTACTTTAAATGAGTTTCAAAAATTGTCAGAACATGTACATCACACTATTCTTGACGTGCTATGGTTTTTCCAGAGTCCACTCGGCTGTCGCCTCGTTGAATGGAACATTCCATCTTTCACCGAATGAAAATATTCTTACCATTGCACTCATAACATTCATTATTTGTTTACTATTACATCGGCATGAAAATGGATGGGAGCTAATTCTGGATTAACAGAAATCTATTTCTATTAAAACAAGAATGCTGATTTACAAGATTTTATGGATATATTACATCTAATGCAATGGGATGGAATCTGCCATGTATTATTAAATTACCGTACTTGTTTCCAATTTACAATATCAGGAACATTGTATGTCAAGATATTACACACCTTTATGTGTACAGTAACCTAACAAGTTATTGGACAGTAATGCAGATGGACAACAATGGGCACTACCTGTACATCCTAAATAAATACGAAGCATCTACATAATCGATAAAAAGGCAATGGTAGTACCCATTATAAAGAGTATCGTTACTTGGAAAGAATATGAAAACTGGCAACAAACCAATCATATCACATTAAAAGACATATGTTTTTTCTTCCTAACTGTGTGCTTCTAGATGTTTTAACAAGTGAAGACGGTTTAAAACATTGGTACCAACAATCACATGTATAAATATGAAAATCCGAAGTACACTTTACAGTATATATTCATACATACAGCATGTGTATAAGGCAATTTAAATCAATGAAGTCTATTGGTATAGTCAATCCCCTGGACTTTGGTCGTAAGGCAGCACTTCCCTTGCGATAGTAACTTCTAGGATACACTTGTACTTTAGTTATTGACATTTACATTATATTAGTTAGTTTGCATCAGGTTTGCACGGAAATCCCAAGCAAATTTTAGTGTAAAAACAGACTATTACAACAAGTTATTTCCGTTTTCAAATCTCGTCGAATGAAGGACTATAGTCTTTCATAGTCAGGACTATAGTATGTTCTTTATACTATGAAGGACTATAGTCTTTCATAGTCAGGACTATAGTCTTTCAAAGTCAGGACTATAGTCTTTCGTAGTCAGGACTATAGTCTTTCAAAGTCAGGACTATAGTCTTTCGTAGTCAGGATTATAGTCTTTCATAGTCAGGACTATAGTCTTTCTATAGTCTTTCATAGTCAGGACTATAGTCTTTCATAGTCAGGACTATAGTCTTTCATAGTCAGGACTATAGTCTTTCATAGTCAGGACTATAGTCTTTCATAGTCAGGACTATAGTCTTTCATAGTCAGGACTACAGTCTTTCAAAGTCAGGACTATAGTCTTTCATAGTCAGGACTATAGTCTTTCATAGTCAGGACTATAGTCTTTCATAGTCAGGACTATAGTCTTTCATAGTCAGGACTACAGTCTTTCAAAGTCAGGACTATAGTCTTTCGTAGTCAGGACTATAGTCTTTCATAGTCAGGACTATAGTCTTTCATAGTCAGGACTATAGTCTTTCATAAAGATAGGGATAATAAGATAAAGATAAGAAGATAAGGATAGGGATAGGGAAGATAAAGATAAGATAAGATAAGGAATAATCATTTATAATTGTTTTTCCGGCGACATGTGGGTGTGATGTAGGGTCGATGTAGGGTCGATGTAGGGTCGATGTAGGGTCGATGTAGGGTCGATGTAGGGTCGATGTAGGGTCGATGTAGGGTTGATGTAGGGCTATAGGAGTATAGAAACCGTGGTGAATGAACAATTAAGCCAAACGACTCTTATTACAAAAAACATTTAAATTGTTGTGCATAATTTATATACAATCAAACACATTATGCTCTAAGAAGTAGGGATGGGCGATACCAGCTTTTTCATTCGATACGATATTTGCTCGATATTTGCCGTTTTTTTCCGATATCGATACCGATATCGATATTTTCCCAACTTGAAATCATTAACAACGGCCACAACGCTAACAATATAAACATTGAATAATATATGTCAGTGATTGCAACCAACATAACCAGAAACTCCCATCCTTCCCGTGGACCATTATAGCACCATAGAAAATGAACTATTTACGCCTATTTAGGCTTTTTGGTATCATTTTCAAGATGATGCCGGTGACCAAAATGAAAAATATCGCGGGCGCAGAAATATCGAAACATCGATATTTCTTTCCAGTATCGATACTTTTCTTCAAAACCCTGGTATCGATAGTATCGAGTATTTGGTATCGATATCGGCCCATCCCTACTAAGAAGTAGACCACATTAACTTTGTAAACGTCTCGAAGAAATAAATGTATTTTAAGACTGAATTTTTGTGTAAACTTTTGGTCTGGCTGCAAAGCGCTCCTGTCCTGTTTAAACTGCTTTCTCTCTTCCAATATAAACCTCCTTATTGTTGTGTTTCCAACCCGCACGGATAACCCGCGACGCCCGCGCAATGAATATCCTAATCTATCCGTATTTATCCACATTAGAAAATGCAAATCTCTGATAAAAATTAATCCTTTAATTAGTTTCACCCTAACAACACATAGCAACCGGTGTGTTTTAATATAGCTTAAATTAATTAACCTTATCCGAGTTTTAGTACTTTAGAAACCTAGCACTAAAATATAGAAATCGCTTGACAATTATATATCATGACCTTTAACTTCCATGTGTTTATATAACTCCAGATAGCAAAAAAATGAATTTTAAAACTGAAATCTTGTGCAAACTTTTGCCTGCAAAGCCCGCGTTTCCGTCCGCGCCAACCGCCCGCCTCATTAGTGTACAAATATGTTGTACGTTAATATATGCATGCACCCAAGCATCGCTAATGACTTAGCAACACATAACAACGTATATAACGACTACATGTTTTTATCGCAAAATATATTACAACTGTTCCAATTCTAACTTATATTCTTGATAAGCTTACTTATGATCTGACTCGGTCATCTTAACAGTATATATGTATGTAGAAGATTTGCTAAAATAACGTTGAACAACATGCAAATATTGACCATAACAACGACGTTGACAACTCGGGATTAGGAACTGTTTAGTTTAAAATATGTCTTGATTTTTGTGACGAATAGATTCCTCTCTATAATTTTGTAAACATACGAAAAATCCTTCAAATACTCGTGGAAATTTATTTCTTCCGAGCAAAGATACGGCTATAACTCTGCTATATATTAATAATATTGACCTTAACAACGACGTTGACAACCCGGGATTAGCAACTGTTTAGTTCTGTTTAAAATATGTCTTGATATTTGTGACGAATAGATTCCTCGCTATGATTTTGTAAACATACGAAAAATCCTTCAATATACTCGTGGAAATTTATCTCTTCCTAGCAAAAATACGGCTATAACACTGCTATATATTAATTTCGATAACAATTTTGCCTTGTGATGGACTCGAGCTATTCATAGCAAACCAAAATTAATCCCTCTATTGTACCATACACGTGGGGGGACGCTAAAAAATGCGTAGTCAGCAAGTTTCGCCCGATCGTGTTTAAGCTCGCCCGCGTGACGTCATTGCATATAATTATGACGTATGTTAATGTTGAGTGACGTCACTACGCACCCTGATTTGTGCGGCCCCCTTAATTACCTGCATATTATATAATGATGCGCCGCCCTGAATTTTTAATGATGCGCCACCACAAACCACCACACGCCACCACAAAAAAGGGGGTCGAACGGCCTCTATATTACTACTCAGAGCCCTTCTTACGTGCGGTGCGACGAGGGTCTCTGGCCAAATCTAGCCTGCGACAGGCTCAGGGAACGAGATTGGAAAGACCCTGGCAATAGCTGGTAATGTGGCTCCCAGATACTGGGTAGGGGAGTGCGCTTCTTGCGCTTGGAGAATTACAACTTGAGTGTTATAGTTTCGGGCGATAAAATTTAAATTTGCAACAGGAAATCCTGAAATAGTTTGTATTTATTATCACACGTCTTTCTCTATATCATTTAGTGTTGCGTCACATTAGTCAAGCGAGAAGTTGGATCAGATTTCAGTGGACATCAAGGCTTGGCAACGAAAGCACGCTTCGCAGCTCAGTTCGCTATAAAAATCTTCCGGACCGAGGATTCTTTCTGTTGTCAGTACTGAAGTGTATCCTGTCCGATACGTAAACCCAACGGATTTACCTTATGCAGAGATGTGGAATTGCTATAAAATAGCAAGATCCTGTGCTCCCGCCAACTGTGTGTGGCCTGTCAAATACTGTGATATATACCGTCTATAAAAGAAAGCAGTCAGAGGAAACTGAGAGTGAGAGAGAAAATAGACTGCGAAAAGAAAATGAGTCCAATAAAGAAAACGGTCAGAAGAAACTGACAGCAAGAGATGAAATAGACTTGAAAAGATAGACTGTCCAAAAAACAAAAGCGGGCACAAAGAGTGTTACAGCCTCAACCTGAACTAAGCCAAACTGATTATTTAAATTTGTTTGACATCACTCAAAATGGTGGTATTGAAGAACAATGCTGCGCAAAAACTAACATTAGTAAGTTTAAGTCTGTGCAATACACTGTAAAACTCAGATTGAAGAAATGTTAATTGCTCGTGCTTTGCCAATCATGCGAGTTTACATTAAACCTGGTGGTCAGCGAGGTTATTCAGGGCATTGTATTAACTTGCCACAAAATGTCACAGAACTTGTAATATCTTTGCCAAGATACCCTAAAGACTTGGCTATTATTATTGTCAAAGTAAAAGGTAGAGGCAACACATTCAGAGATGTGACAGTGCGAAAGCAAAATGTGCACAATGCCTTAATGTGGCTTATAACCAATAATCCACATTATTCTCAATTAACAATTTAAATGAAGATGCATTAAATTCATTACCTGAAAGTGGTGTACTACCAGATCTCACGACTGTTGAGACTGATGATGATATAGTCTCAGATGCAGGTCCTCCTACTGGTAATCCCTCAGAGGATATTGTATATGATGATTCCACTGAAATGAGTAGGTTTTTACTTGTTGGCGAACAACGACAACAGGAAATTGAAGCTGTTAGAAGTCAGCTTTCTGAAAATGAGCCAATTCCATGGCCCTGGACTGAAAATGGACCATAAAATGAGTATCAGGTATCACATCTGGCCACAATGGCTTTCCCAACATTGTTTCCGGATGGGAAAGGTGATTCTAATAATCAAGGACTTCTGAGAGATGTCCCTCTTCAGGAACGAATAAAGTATCTTCTAAAATTTGCTGAAATTATTGAAGGTAAATGGATATACCTTTTGCTAACCACCCAAGATTTTCTTATTGGGCTTTTAATATGATTCAAAGAAAACAAATCTTACAACAAAATGGAACATTTTTTAAACAAAACCCAGGTGAAGTACATCTCACCATTGATGAACTGCGAGAAATGGCGTCCAGTAACAATGCTAATCGATTTATGTCAAAGGTGTCTAGGTATGTTGGAAATATTGCGGGCACTAATGCTTACTGGAATAGAGTAAGAGAAGAGCTCGAGTCTATTATAACTACTGTTGGAGCACCAACATTATCTTTTACCTTTTCCTCTGCAGATATACAGGGTGTATCAAAATAAACGCAATTCATCTTTTGTGCTTAATAACTTTCGAAATACTATCTCTAGTTAAACGCTTTTAGGCTTACTTCAAAGCCTGTTCTTTTCTCTTTCAAATAAACTATTATCCTTGTCTCCAATGTTTGTAATAATTGCACAGGAAAAGATTTAGTAAAACCTATCATTTTTAGTTGCTGTTTAATTATGCTAGTTTACTATGTTATTGTTTAGTCGGTTTAAATGTTAGAATTTTCTTCTTTAAACTTTAATGTTGTCGTCACTACATCTGGAAAACCACGTAAGAACAAATTAAAAGTATTTTAAAAGAGACCAGGTTGTTTGAAAATCCTAAACGAATGCTAAAAATCGTGAAAACATTCTGGTGTCTGAGCCAGAGTGTCATCGAATTGCGATGTAATGTAAACAGAAATTATAGCAAGTTGATGTCAGTCAGCTTAGATGGTCCAAGCCAAAATTATATCGCATTCGAAGTTTCAAACTGAGTTAAAAATAGTGGAAGAAAAGCCGTAATTATACTTATTGTTACAATCCATTTAATAAAATGCAACTTTTTTTGAAAAATCAGTTATTTTCATGAGAACGATTAGTTATTCCATCTCAATTTTTTTAATCTCCAATCGCAATAACGTAAAGTATTATTACCCGCGAACCAATGAGTCAAATTTAAGAAACAACCCACTGTTAGAAAGCTGAATGGCTACGCTTTAAAATGAATGTAAACTTTAACGTTTCCGTCTATTATTTGTTTAGCAATTTACATTTCAGTCGAGGATTGCGCTTTTTTGATACACCCTGTATACTGCATGTCGTACTTATAGCCTATATTATAAGAGCGGAAACGCGTCGAAGAATCTTTAATCGAATCAGCTATACCTCAAACTTAATCAGGGAGACGTTGATTTCGGGATTTTGCAGACGAATATAAAGAGAGCCAAATATTTCAAAGCATGGCGACGGAGGTGGAAAAATTTCTCAGCACTGTACCCTCTACAGCTAATTTTCATGATTGGTCTGTGACTGTGACATCATTCAATGAAAATAAGAACATGACAGATTTTTATAATGTTTTGTCGGCAAGCGTGGCAAGAGAAAGAAGAAGCGGAGTTAATTTATAATTACAATCCGTTGTATATACTGGGAGCTATACGGTAGAGGTGTGCATCGGATCCGAATCCGATCGGATCTTTGATAATGAAGTCCGATCCGATCCGAAGAATTCTTTAATAAAATAAATTTTTCATTCAAGTTGAATTATTTAACCAAATAAATATAAAAGCAAGAAATACATGTCAAGAAGTTGACAAAGTGACGTCCAATTGAAGTATGAACGAATAATGCAGCGACAACCGCGATAATGCTTTGATAAATGCATGGCTAATTAATTCTTGCGATAATGCGTGGATAATTAATTCATTTTATTTCGGACATCGAAGTCCGATCCGATCCGACTACGAAACAATTTTATCAATCCGATCCGATATGAATATTTTGGTTCCGAAATCCGAACGAATCCGATCGGATCGGATTTGCACACCTCTACTATACGGTCTTCGAACAAGTCTATGTTTTCAGTAACAGTTTTACTGCATATACTACTAGCTGTTGTAATATATAAGAGCGGAAACGCATCGAAGAATCTTTAATCGAATCAGCTATACCTCAAACTTAATCAGGGAGGGATTTCGGGATTTTGCAGACGATTAAAGGGTATCAGTTGGAGAATGTGGATAAAAGCGGCTAACAACTGATGAACGATTGCACAGAGCGTATTACAATACATGTGATTTTTCGACAGTTCCGGCAATTGCGTATACATAAGCTTATATAACTAATTAATGAGGATAATGCGCACAAAGTTGGCCAACTCTGAATGAAAGCCGACGTTCGAAGCAATTCATTTTGACATTCCAGCAAAGCTCAACGGTAATTACCGAAGACACATCAAGGGTGCAGTGAACGCGTTCGTGCCAATCACAAAAAGACAATCAACTAACCCACCCTGTCTTGGGAAAATAACAGTGCATGACCGTTCTACATTGAAAATCAGTTCTGCGCAATGGAAACAATGGAACGAGTGAAAATAAAGGTTGCTTTCCAGAAAACGTTATTTCACGTATAAATACATGTACATACGAAAAAGTTTAATTTTTTCTAAATTTTATACTGTCATATTAAATTACGACTAAATCAGTGCTGTTCTTTTATTCATTTAATTATTTCATAGGCTACTGAAGAAATTGGATTTAAACCGGAAAGCAGCTTCTATAATATCAAACCAAGAATATTTAACAGTTATTCTACGAACTCGAGTCGAATATGAGCTGATAGCCGATGAGGCGCGTAGCGCCGAATCGGCTACAGTGGCGTAACTACTATGGGCTCGGACCGGGATAACCCGGGGGCCCCCAACCCCAATGGGCCAAATGGGGGCCCCAGGCTCAAGCTGTAGAGCAAAAACACTGACCAGGGCCTCTGATATGTCACAATGTCGTTTTCTGACCATCAGAATTCTGTAAAATCTCTCTCAAACGTCCGGGAAATGGCATTTGAGAGACTCTAGATTCAAACATTTGCCGGGTGAGTATGACCTGGACCCCTTCTATTAGGGGGCCTTCGAAAATTTTTGACCGGGGGCCCCCTGATATAACGTTACGCCACTGATCGGCTATCGCTCATATTCGACGAGAGTGAGTGGAATAACTGTTTTATTATATACACAAGGTCTGGATTCACAGACTTTGCTTTTCGAATATTTTCAATATTTTTCTATTTTGTTTATGTTTTTATCTTCGCTCTTTCGGCCGATTATATTTTTTCAAAAATATATATTTTTAACCATTTTAAATTTTAAAAATTTATTTGCTAACCTGAAAACAATTTGTAGGAGTTTTTTCATTGTGTTTTTAATCCTGTAAAGGTTATAAAAAGCGACAACTTGCCATTTTCTCGTTTGCAAAACATCGTAAATTCAGTTTGGCCGCCATTTTGTTTTTCTCTACTAGCAGGATATGAGCTAATATCCTGCTATCCAGACCTTGTGTATATAATAAATTATATTATTATATACCATTATTCGTGTGCCAGTACAGTTTGCACTTCTTTCGCCTTGTTTCGGCCTCTCTCCCGAGCCCTTACATAGTTAATTTCGCCTATTAAAGGGGGCGATAAAAATGAACTTTCTCTTATTTAAAAGAACTTTTAGAGTTTTATATGAAAACTCTTTACAACTTTTCGTACCTTGCTTGGTTTTCGAAATATTTTGACCAAAAACAGTGTGCAGTCCGCCATCTTGGTATTATAATTGATCTAATTAACTGAGTTTTTGATGACGTCACAAGCAGGATAAATTTGTTAAAACTTCATGTGGGACTAAATTTCTTCAAAAAGTTTCTTAAAATGTCGTGAGTTAATTGAGTACTGAAAAGACTTCGGAAAATCGATCGAGTTTCATATTGATGACATGTGGTTTGCAAGATAAAAAATTATCTTTTTACCCTACTTGTGACGTATGTATATCGAATGCATATCCAAGATGGTGGAATGCACGTTGCTTTTGATCAAAATAAGTCGATTTATTTCGAAAACCAAGCAAGATACGGAATAATTGTAAAGGATGTTTATATATCATTTTGACGTTCTTTCAAATAAGACAAACTTAATTTATAGTGCCATATTCATTTAAACTAAGCACGATTTTGTCGCTGAGAAGAATATAAAAGTCGTCAGTCTGAGTATATATTTTACGTAGGTTTCTCTGGTTCACAAACAAGGTGGATAGGCCGCAGTTATAAAATTGGCAGATCACAGGCTACTAGACGGTTCCATTGGCAATGTAAAGATGGAAGTAACCAAGGATGGACTGTGTCTCGAAAAGAAGCAAGAAAAGCGGGAAGAAATGGTTGTAGCTAGAAACGGCGGGAGGAAACGGCTTCTCGCAATTAGAAAGCCAGCTTATTAATTGCAAAGATTATTAATGTTTAATTAATATCTTGATTTCTTTTCTTTTGGAAAAATATATTCCACGCACGGACAGATCAATAATAAAAATGTAATGGGAATAGAACTTCGCTCGGATTAAATTAAACTAAAAGTTCTAGTAGAATAATCCAGTGATAACTTATATAAAGAATAATATGAGTATTAACGAATCGAAATTCGTCCCCTGGAATGAAGAAAGGGCCTTTAAGATGGAACTTAGACTTGGTTCAAGTTCATCTCTCAATGGATGGAAAAAGTGAGCCATATATTGCTTTATTTTGCTCACATGATAATACCGGATACCTAGTGAAGTATATTGATCAATTCCTAGGATGTACCGGGATCAAAATTAATTCACCTCGCTTTAAGTAGTGATTTATTCGTACGAGATGTCATTCCGAATCCTCCAATTCAGACTGGCCTGACTAGATTTCAAGTTCTTGTATTTTGACCCAGTTCTAGACTTCGGAGGCCTCGGACTGGATCCAATTGCGCGGACTTGAAATCTAGATCTCAAACTCATTAGTAATTAATCAGTAAATTAGCCAACCATATTGCTTTATTAATTTTGCTCACATGATAATACTGGATCGATACCTGGTGAAGTATACTGATCCATTCCTGGGACTAGATCAAAATTAATTCAGTCGTTGGACTGGATTAAAATTAATTCACCTCAATTTAAGTAGTGATTCATTCGTATGAGATATCATTTCAAATCCTCCAATTTGGACTGGACTAGATTTCATGACTCATGTCCTCGCATTTTGATTCAGTCCTCGGCTTCGCCTCGACTTGAAATCTAGTCCAGTCCTCATAGACGGATTTGAAATATTACATCAGTCTTCTTCATAGTCGGATCTGAAATATTTCATGAATACGTGAGCGGTGAAAAAAGGCCCAAAAGACTGACTTGTAACAAGTCTAGGTGCAATTGTGCTCCAAGAAAAAGTTTATTTTTTATTTTTGAATTACTTGGAAGGTGATTCTTCTTTCCCACACTTTTTAAAAGTGAAAAATGAAATCCAACTATTCGCCTCGCTTTTCCCTATAGACAGCCCTGAGAAGGGGCACTATATATATGCCAGCTTGTGGTGTACAAATAGACATAGAAATATCCCGTAGTGGCTAAATTGCTGCCGTCGTGAATCAGATTTTTAGTCATTTCGTGACCAAACAATCTGAACTTAAGTATCAATATGATATGACTATCATGCAATATCAGTTTTTTTTTAAGGAGAGGTGTGTTTTATATAATTAGCGTTTTCTAACACCTGCATTTGCAACACCAGAATGCAATTTACATGTGACAATCAATGCTTAGCTCGCAGGGTAGTGACAATCAGGGCCGTGGCGACCAGGGTGGGGGGTATTACACCCCCCAATAATCGTGGATAATATATTTCAGGTAAATGTCAGATAAATTTGATTGAAAATTCAGGTAACAATCGTGTCTGAAATCAGGGAAGAAATCTAGAGTCGGTAAAGTGCCACTTTCAGCATTTTGGCGGCTGTTTTAATGTGTTTTGATGCCATTTTATAACAACCATTTAACACATCACACAACTCCATTTAATTTAACACAACTCCGACACAATCACAAACGAATCCAGAACATTTAAAACATAGGAAGATTTAATGCATATGCTTTTCCTCGTCAGAATGTTTCCAAGGGGGCCCAATATTTTGTAAGGGGACTGTGGGCATGTCCCGATCGTGCTCATAAAATCCCAAAAAGTTGCTAACTAGAACCAAAAAGTTGCTATCTAAAAAGCATTAAAGTTGCTCAAAAATGGCCCGAAATAAAAAAATAAAGTATAAAATTCAAAAATTTGTTCGTACTCATTAGACATCACGTTAATTTCACGACATACGTTAATTAAAAACTTTATACAATTTCTGCAGCCTCAGTGCAGGCCCGGATAAATTGTTTGGAATTATAAACAGAAAACGTTTTCCTTACAAAAGTTTAACAAATGACAAAATAAAAGTCATACAAAGTTGACATTCAGCTGAGCAATATGAGATTACTTGGAGTAAATCGTCTGATTCAAGTACAAAGTAACGTCACAAATTTTATGGTTTCATATCTCTGCGTTCTAATATTAATGATTTCTAGTCTGGAGTCCGATAACTCCGTGTCTCATGTCATATACAACGTTTATATAAAATATAAAATATAAATGATAATATAAGAATACAATAACTACAATAAATATCACACATATTGTGCCTTTATCAGTGCCTTGATGATGAAACTAACAAGTCTGACAGCAGAGGCCGTGGAAGCATTTCGAAAGTGGAGGGGCATTGGCCAAAAGGGGCACTTTTGTATATGATCAAAATCAAACGATTTTATGTCGTTCACGAGCCCACCCTCCCGCGTATTCCCGCCATTCTTGTCGCGCAGTGAACCTAATGTTTGTTCAGAGTTAAAGGACATTTACCAAACTGTTTTGCTCAGTGTCAAAGACTACAAATTTTGTTCAAAATGTGGAGTAATATAATGCATATGTGTGTGTTTTTTAACACCAAAAATGTCTAAAAAACTGTCTGACAAAGAAGCTGTTCGAAACTCATTAAAGTTGCGTTTTGAACAATTCAACTTCAGATTTTACTGATTTTTAACCCCTTTTCTTCAGTATCTAGTCCTTGCATTTGCTGATACATGGCCTTGAATTTGACTCTCCCTCGCATGTTCGAAACCTGTATAAATCTAACCTCGATCATTCAACTAGTCAACTGTGTATAATAGTATATTTGTGATATTTATAGAAAATATATATTCATTTAAACATCAGTCTCTTAATATTTTTACAAACTCAATTGATGATTCCCTTTAATATTACGTTTTCGTAGCGCTTTGCATTGTGGTTATAGTGGTATCACTAATAAAGATAGCGGCCTCGAATGAAAATATTGAATGTTTTCGCGAATATTTTTTTAAAAGTTCTTGCACGGGTCAGGACAAAAAATAAGCCATCTTGAATATCAGTGATACCACTATAACCACAATGCAAAGCGCTGCGAATGCAATCACCAAGAACAGATACATACATGTACACTTAGCGTACCTATTTTTAAGATAAGGAGTGCCATTTAAATTTCTGAATAAATTAACCCATGCCCCTGACGAGTAAAATCATTAAAGCCTGGTTCACACGATGAAATAAGCATAAGCATCAGCAAGCGGAACCTTTGATGTGCATAAACATAAACATAAGAAGAACAAATGTTGCGTTCTTCTTATGCTTACGTTTATGCACATCAAAGGTTCCGCTGCTTGTGCTTATGCTTATTTCATCGTGTGAACCGGTACCAGGCTTAAGTGTTTAGACAGAGTAAAATAATAAAGTAGGGCACATTGGGGTGCAATGCAACTTTATAATTTGTCTAGAAAGTAGGAAGTTATATGGAGCGACGCTACCTCCAAAATCTAAAGGTGTAACTCCAAACCAACATATACACTTGAGTAAGTTGTGTGATTCAAAACTAACTGAGTTGAAATATGAATTGTGGAGTTACTAGCTAAGTCCAAAAATCATTTAGGATTATAGGTATCTATATAAGCCTGGAGTTACTGGCCAACTCCAAAAATTATTTGGAGCTAGGTATAACTCAAAAAAGCATGAAAAATTGGTATCTAAGCCTTGACCTTGAGTTACGGGCTAACTGCCTAACTTCAAAAAGTGTGTGTAGGCAGTGTAGCGAGGCGAGCCAGCCTAGCCGCTAGGTATGTAAATCTGAAGTTACTTGCTGTTTTCAAAAGTTATTAGGAGCTTATCTAGCGGCGCTGTTGGTACTTTGTTCTCGTTCGGAGGCTAAATTTTGATCTGCAGTTGCGGCGCAATCCATTCTCATTCCCCTCAACCCTTGTCATGCTCTGTTGACCGTGTGTAAGACGGGCTCCGGGTACGAGAATGTTGCATACCAGCTATAGCCTAGCTCCATTCAAAGATTGGCTACCTCCACAAAAATAAAAACTACAGGTATGGAGAGCGCTGGCTCTGATTGGGTTAAGCAAGAACAGTGATGACAGTGATATCCAACGTACATGAATCGTCCCAGCAACAAAATGATTTCCAAACAAAGGCCTCTATCCAACCTCGTTCATCATCACATTTAGATAGGCCTACACATATTCTGAATAAGAGAAAAAATAAATGGTTGGCTGAATGATTGAACGTTACAGCTGCGAAAAATGTAACTTTAGGTCCTTGGTAGGAATTGAACCTGTGACCCAGCGATTCTGGTGCAGTGCTCCAACCAACTGAGCTGTACGGAGGCCAGTTATCAAGCTCCAACCACAAGCTCATGTATATATAAATATAGGGTACTGTCATGTTTTAGGTTATCTGGTTATGGGTAAATATTAAGATTTTGTTGGTTATTTATTTATTTATTTATTTATTAGTTTCGCCATATTACAATACACAAAACTATAACAAGAACAAGAATAATATACATGACTATAGGCAGGGTGACCGCAACAGCGTGAGCCAATTACTGCGGGCCCGAATTAGGACATACAAACATAAAAAACTATCTAAATAAAAATATAACTAATAGAGGCTGAACCAAAATTCGAACGGTATTACACTTGGTACATATAGTTTTGAATGTTCTTGGATTTTCAGGATCGTAGGAACACAAAATCTGAATGATTGATAATAGACAGCAGTGGACAGATTGACTGATTGGCTAACTTAGGGAACATTAACTAAATTCAAAGCCACAATGCTACACTCGTCGTTTTAGAATCTCCAGCGGTTCTCCATCATTTCGTTTCACACCAGCATGCATATGTCAACTCTTGTTAATACATATCTGAAAGAACAATTAATATTCCATAGTATCGATAGAATATTTAGTGCATATATACCTTCCACCAGTGGCGGAAATTGTCGGGGGGCGAAGGGGCGCTAGCCCCCCTCCCCACCTCTACATTTGTCGGAAAATAGACCATTTGTTGGAAATTTCAGCATTACCATCCATATGTGTTAAAAACGGCAAAATAACGTGAAAAAGATAAAAAGGTGTCAAAATAACGTATTTAGGCCAAAACAACCATGTTCCAGGTATAAAACGCTTAATAAAAGTCCAACGGAGGATAAATAATTTCAAAAAATTTTTCGACCAAAAGTGGGCAATTTGTCAGAAAATTTGAGGCTTCGCCATCCCCACACACACACACACACTCAGACAAGTGAATTTCCGCCACTGCCTTCCACCTTTGATTTCCTGGTTTAATTCCTGTAATATACATCATTATTTGAGTGAAAAGTTGCACGTGGTACAGAGTGCTTCCAGTCTGACTTTATACCAATTGCAAACGTCAGGTATATGGTTGTAATGTGTGACGTATTTTTGTATGTTTTCACCGTAATCTAAGTGTAGCGCGCGCGAGAACACGCGAGAAGCCACGCGTTGCGAGAAACACGCTGTTATGAATTGAACAGCCGCCATTATGATAGTTTTCGTAAATATTCCTCATGAATTTGTTGTATATATGTTAATAAAATAAGTATTATAAACGATTTGGAGCCTTTTGAACCTAAATTCTCTTACATGGTCCTTCGGAGTCGGATATACAACGAATAATGGCTGAGGAATTGAAGACATTAGTAAAAATACGCGGAGGCCATCGAGCCAGTCTTACGAAAACATTAGCTGTAACAGAAGAACTCTTAACGCAATCTACGGAAATATTTGAAGAAACACAGGCAAGTGACTTTGAAATAAAACTTACCCAACAACGTGTGATTTTGGGCGAGAAATTACCACTTCTAAAGAGTTTTGACGACAAGATTATTCTGTTGGTTGAGGACGGAAATATTGAGGATGAGGTTGCCAGTGCTGATGACATACGTCAAGCTATTCAAAGGGCAATTGTTCACATTGATTTAATTTTGGAAAAACTGAAGAAAAAATGGAATAAAGACAGTGGATCTTCACCATCGAATCTGGAAAGTTCTCTGTCGCAAGCAACAGTACCACACACATCTAACAGTACGGTAAGATTACCAAAATTAGAACTAAAACATTTTAATGGGAACATAATGGAGTGGACTCCATTTTGGGATTCATATTCTTCTTCCATTCATGAAAATCCTAATTTATCTGGTATAGATAAATTCAATTATTTGCATAGTCTGTTGGAAAAATCTGCTGCTGAAGCAATATTGGGTTTAAAAATAACTTCAGCAAACTACCAAGAGGCAATAGATATCTTAGACAAAAGATTTGGTAATCAGCAACAAATTGTCAATGCCCACATGAATGCTTTATTAAACCTGCCCAAGGTGACTAATGTAGATGACTTAAAGGCTCTCAGGCAATTACATGATAAAGTAGAGAGCCATATGAGGGGATTGAAATCACTTGAAGTTGACTCTGGTTCATATGGTAGTCTGTTAACACCTATTTTAATTGATAAGTTGCCTAAAGAGCTGCGTTTAGAAGCTACAAAGCAGCTCAAAGAAGATTGGGATCTAGATGAACTGATCAAAATCTTTAAAGGGGAACTGGAGGCTCGAGAGAGGGCAAGTCTCTTACCCGGCAGTTCGAGGGATCCCCCATCTAAGCCACCGTATAAACCTAAGATCCCATCTGCATCATCTTTGTTTACTACTGGAGGAAGTCCAACATGCACCTACTGTCAACAACCCCACCCTTCAAATAGCTGTAGTACCGTGACTGACAGAAATGAGAGAAAGGAAATTCTGAAACGGTCTGGAAGATGTTATATATGCCTTAGAAAGAATCATGTTGCCAGAGAGTGCAAATCTAAGAAAAAATGTTTTAAATGTGATAAGCGTCATCACATTAGTATCTGTCCATCCAATTCTAAGGTGAAACCTAACCCACCAGAGCAAGAAGCATCCCACCAACCAACCCCCTCTGAAGAACACCCACGCATGCAACCCCAAGGTCACCAACCCACAAACCAAGGTAGCGAACAACCTCAGAACACCCATGTCAATATGTTTGTCGATGCACAGTCCTCGATTCTTTTACAAACCGCAAGAGCCCCCATTTACAACCCAAAGGATCCTAGTAAGACGTTGCAGGCAAGACTTATATTTGACAGTGGAAGCCAAAGATCATACATAACTTCCACAATGAGAGACAAGCTGAATCTCCCTATAGTAAGACGAGATACCCTCAAGATTAATGCCTTTGGTTCTAAGGATGAAGATATTACCTCCTGTGATATGGTTCAATTTCAGTTGGACACCGAGAGAGGACATAAGTTAAACCTATCGGCTTATGTTGTTCCATTGATATGCTCCACAATCGGAAACCAAAATACAAGATTTGCCCAACAATCCTATGAACATCTTTCTGGTCTAACTCTTGCTGACTCAGCAAACGATGGAGAAGAATTCGATTTGGATATACTGATTGGAAGCGATTATTATTGGCAGTTGGTCACCGGTCATGTAATCCATGGAAACGATGGTCCTACAGCAATGCATACCAAGCTCGGCTGGGTTTTGTCTGGTCCAGTGAAAGGGGCACCACCCGATTCTCATTCCAATGTCAACATTGCACCTACCCATGTGTTACGATGTTCTACCCAACTCACCCCTTCCCCAGAAGCAACAATTGAAACTAACCTCAAACGTTTTTGGGAATTGGAATCACTTGGTATCAGTCCTGACAAGCATTCTGTTTACGAAGAGTTTCTAAGTACTGTGAAACACCGAGATGGTCGATATGAAGTTCACCTACCATGGAAAGATAACCAAGTCACCATACCAGATAACTACCAGCTTAGTCTAAGGAGACTAGAATCCCTCCTAAGGAGACTCCGACAAGATCCTAAAACCCTGAAGGAATACAACAACATTATTCAGGAGCAGATAGCTAGAGGAATCATAGAAAGAGTTGATGAAACATCCACCACCAATGCAAGTCGTGTCCATTACTTACCACACCATGCCATCATCCGTCGCGACAAGAAAACAACAAAATTGCG